TTTAATGTATTCTTTATTGATCATAATGTCAAAGTTAAGGGCGTCTAAAACCCCTAAGGAAATCAGATTTCTCTGCAAATCCGGAACATATCTAGTTTTTTCAAGAATCAACTTATTATCTCCTTTTACATTCAATGTGATAGTTCATATTCCTTTTATTTGGCAAGTCATGTGATTACCCCTTAAAACCTTACCACCGGTTACATTTTCAAACTCAGTAAACCATTCTCTATTAGGACACATATGGTAGGTGTAGCCAGAGTCAAGAATCCATTCCTGGCAAGGTGAAGTGCTTACAGCAACATATATTTCATCAATATTAGTCTCATTATAAGCCAAGGCAGCACCACCATCATCTTTGGACTTATTCTTTAAGTCTTGAAGTCTCTTAGGACAGTCTTTAATAAATTGACCTTCTTCTACACAATAGAAGCATTTTTTTCCCTTTTGTCTTCATTTTCATTTTATCTTTAAAGTTGCCCCTTTTTGTGTCCAGGTTTCTTATTAAAGTTGTCATTCTTGGAATTAAACTTGGACTTCATCATAAGGTTTATACCACTAACAGACTCCTTCTTTTCAGATTTTAACTCTTAACTCTTTAGTCTTTAAGGCATTAATAATCACATCTACAGTTAGAGTTTCCATACAATATTCAATTGCATTTTTGACCTCTTTATATTTATCACCATTTGAATTTAACAAAACCACAACCAGATGTCCACTTGAGAGTTTCTCATCACAGTTGGCTAGGTCACGGGATAGTCTGTTAAATCTATCTATATTGGTTTCTAGATCAAGAGAAGGGTCCAGTTTAAAAGCAAAGAATTGTTTCAAAATATAAACCTTATTAGGCATGGTTTTGTTCAGATAAGTGGATTCCAATTTCTTCCACAATTCAACAGTAGTTTTAGTTTCACCAATTTCTCTAATTACATTATCAAACAAATGCAGAAAACCAGTACTCCATGATGTTTCATCTTGTTCAGTTACTTTGCTTGATTCAAGATCAGTAGGCCATGAC